CTCACCTTTTCAGTGACTATTCCCTCTTGGCTGTGGACCAGTCCATTCTATCCATCGTCCTGAGTGTCCATGCCTCAGAGCGTCTTTGTCACTCCCTGACTGAATTCCAGTGTTCTCCCTTAGACACCCTGTTCAATGTGTGGATATCTATTTCTTCTTTGTGAAAGAGTGAGTGCTGGGTTCCGCTAGTCAGCCATCTTGATGACATCCTCAGCAGTGGTTTTATTTTAATATAGCTTTACACTCAGCAGAGAGAGCCCATCTATACAGTATCATTCATGATTTGGTTTCTAATCTATACCCACTACCAATTCTAAAGTGCATTAAACAAGACTATCATGTGTTCCCACAGTGGATGGTGTTTACCTTCCTAGAACATGAGAGGCTCTTGAGCCTATTTCGTTAGACACTTGAACGGCTCATATCACCACCAATGTCAACTTCAACTGAAAGACTAGGAGGAAAACTTAGTAAATGATGCATGAGCATTTTATATTCAAGGGTTATTCTTAATAAATAGAAAAATAAATATAAAAGACAAGAATGCCCTCTGGAAATTTGATGTTTCACCTGTAAAAGATGTTCCTAAAATCCTTACCCAGACTTATTGTGGCCAAATAAAGATGATGAGATTGAATAGTGTAGAAAATAACCCATATGTGGTGGTCCATTTTCAATTCTAAGTGCTGTAATGAATGCAACAAAGAAGTAAAGAAGCAGAATTTACTGTCAGCAGCCCCTTCTTTCCCTTTCATCCCGCAGCCAGGCACCTATAATTCAGGGCCCACTTAACCACCCCCTCCCAACCCACCAAAGAATTTAGTTTAGGCTGGCTTGCGGCATAGATAAGTCTGCTCTTTTTTATCAGCTAAGGGCAGCCACTAGGGCTATAGGTCAAATGTTTAAAAACGTCCTGAGGCAGTCACAATGCATTATGGGCTGCAATAAATTGCAGCAGAAAGACCCTAAAAAACATACTCGAACCCTTAACACAACTACCAATAGGCAGGTCAAGGAAGATTGTAAACCCACAGAACTCAGTCAATGAGGGACTGGGAGGGACTTGCACACTAGGAAATAAATGGCTTGTTAAACCGTTCGGGTTGTGCCTCCATGCCAAACACCCAGTCTCCAAAACTGCCATTAAAGTCTCACTTCTGCTTTTCTCTGTGCCCTGGAGTCCATTCTTCGGCTTTGGACCGGTGAGGGCATTTCTTATAAATGCCAGTGTGATTTTTTTCCTGCGGGCTTGCTGTAACATAAACTAGTGAGCTTTCAATGGTTGGATTTTACCTGTTTTGAGAGTTCTTTTTTCTTAATAGATTTAATTGCTGCATTTAGAAAACAACTTGGTTTACCTTTATGCTGCAAAATGTAGTTTAATCTTACTTTTAGCAACATATTTTCTAGAGAGTCAATTATAGCTTAACAAAAGCCAGATCTCAGTTCCCTTTTTTCATTTTAAATACCCTACTTTGGGTTTTTTCTTATGGGTTCTGTTAAAACTAACCCGGACGGCATGTGTGGCGATAAGAAACAGGATTATTTAAGGTTTTTTTTTTTTTTTTTTTTTTTTTTTTTTTTTTTTTTTTTTTTTTTTTTTTTTTTTTTTTTTTTTTTTTTTTTTTTTTTTTTAGAGACCATCCGAAATCTTTTGCACTGTTTTTTCTCTGGAATTGATAATCCTATTTCAGCATCTAAATATTATCCTCTTCAACCTCCAGAAAGACTTTAACCAATCAGCCATCTCCTCTTCCATATGCACATTGAGCACAGGTTCTTTCCTTTTATTTACAGTATGTGCAGTGCTCACCAACCAAAGTAGCTTCTCTCTGTGGCCACCTTTTCAGGTTATTGTGCTTACACATTTTTCTACCATCACATCCTTGAAAAATGACCCTACTTTTATACGTTTCAGTACTTTACCACCTATTCTCTAATTAACTCAGCATAAACCAGCTTCTGTACCCGTCCCTCAAATGAAACCACACCATGAAATATTCACCATGTCAGAGGCTCCAGAGATGAGCTACTCATCTTCATCTCTCTGCAGTGGTTGCCATGTTTGATCACCTTTTCTCCTTCTTAGATACCACATCAGCTGAACTCTTCTGAGCCTTCTCCTAGTGGGGCTGATTTTTTTTGGGAGGGTTAAAACTCCACTTTTTAGAATAAAAGAGTACAAATCTATGTTAATGAGTATCCGATATATAAAGATATAATTTTTTGACACCAATAAGATAAATGGGAGCAGGGAGGAGCTGTAAAGAGGTAGAATTTCTGTATGTGATTGATGTTATCACTTTAAATATGCTTATTTGATTTTAAGTTCTGCGGTACATGTGCAGGATGTGCAGGTTTGTTACATAGGTAAACATATGTCATGGTGGTTTGCTGCACCTATCAACCCATCACCTAAGTATTAAGCCTAGCATGCATCAGCTATTTTTCCTGATGCTCTCCCTCCCGTCGTGTCTCCCCACTTCCCACCAGGCCCCAGTGTTTGTTGTTTCCCTCCCTGTGTCCATACGTTCTTATTGTTCGTCTCCCACTATAAGTGAGAACATGCAGTGTGTGGTTTTCTGTTCCTGTGTTAGTTTGCTGAGGATAATGGCTTCCAGCTCCATCCATGTCCCTGCAAAATACATCATCTCATTATTTTTCATGGATGTATAGTATTCCATGGTGTATATGTACCACATTTTCTTTATCCAGTGTATAATGGGCCTTTGGGTTGATTCCACATCTTTGCTATTTTGGATAGTGCTACAATGAACATATGTGTGCATGTATCTTTATGAGGCAATGATTTATATTCCTTCGGGGATATACACAATAATGGCATTATCTTTATAAGACAAGGATTTATATTCCTTTGGGTATATACATTGCAATGGTATTCTGGGTCAAATGATATTTCTGGTGCTAGGTCTTTGAGGAATTGCCACACTGTCTTCCACAGTGGCTGAACTGATTTACATTCCCATCAACAGTGTAAAAGCGTTCCTATTTGTCTGCAGCCTTGCTAGCAGCTGTTGTTTCTTGACTTTTTAAAAACAGCCATTCTGACTGGTGTGAGATGGCATTTCATTGGTTTTGATTTGTGCCTCTCTAATGATCTATGGTATTGAGCTTTTTTTCATATGCTTGTCGGCTGCATAAATGTCTTCTTTTGAGAAGTGTCTGTTCGTATCCTTTGCCCACTTTTTTTTATGTTTAATTTTTTTTGAGACGTAGTTTCACTCTTGTTGCCCAGGCTGGAGTGCAACCACAACCTCCGCCTCCCGGTTTCAAGCAATTCTCCTGCCTCAACCTCCGGAGTCGCTGGGATTACAGACATGTGCCACCATGCCTGGTTAATTTTTTATTTTTAGTAGAGACGGGGTTTCTCTATGTTGGTCAGGCTGGTCTTGAACTCCTGACCTCAGGTGATCCACCCGTCTCGGCCTCCTAAAGTGCTGGGATCACAGGCGTGAGCCACCGAGCATGGCCTCCTTTGCTCACTTTTTAATGGGGTGTTTCTTTTTCTTGTAAATTTAAAACAGGAATTTTTACAGGTGACAAAACAAAGAACCTGAGACTTTTGTTACCTGTCCAAGGTAAATTGTGGACCCGGACTCAAATTCCAGAGGTCCTGTACTTTGCAGTTCTCTCTCTCAGAAGTGCTGCCGCTGCTGCCCATGAAATAGTGCAAATTAGGAAAAGAAGACACTTTGGGCTAAACAATAGAAAAGGTTTTTTCCTCTGACATAGAGAACAGGCTTGCGGAGCAGAGAGCAGGCTGGACTTGGGTCTCAAGGCCCGTCCCCGTCCTCCCGCATCCTGTAGGAAACCGTCTGCGGCAACCCAGGAGTGCCCCCTTTCTGTCTCTCTCTCTTTCCCTCCCCACCCCCGCATCCTTCCCTCTCTTCTCCCACTCTTTTCTTTATTGACCCTGAGTCCTTTTCCTGAGTCTAACGAGGCCGTCGGGGCGGTCCGGTTTTCAGGAGGCAATTTCTTGTGCGTTTATCCCTATGGGATTTTGCTTCGCTGGGGCTCCAGGAGACTAAAGAACCCCAAGGCCCACTCAGCACCACCTGCCGCGGTCCCCTGCTCGCTGCTGAGGCGTTCGCGCCCACTTTGGGCGCCCACGGGCACCTGCCGCGCTTCCTGCCTCCCGGGCGGCGGCTGCTCGGAGACTTCAGCTGCAACGCTGAAAGCACAGCCTGTTCGGGTCGTCTTCACAGCCGCGATAAGGTGAGCATTTCACATGTCTGAGAGGTATCTTTAGTACTTTGTCCAAATTTTGGAAATAATGGAATTTTGGAAATATTTTATCTTAGACTTTCAGCATTCCCAGGTTGATCCGCCGCCTGGTGAACTCGGCTTCCTGGTTGCCTAGGTTACAGTAAAAATAGCAAAGATTCCGGGCACTTGGCTGGGCTTTTTCCAAATCCACGGAGCCGCGCCTGGGCCCCCAGCCTGCCCTCCCGCGAGTCCGGCGGGTCCTCGGGCCTGGCCGGCAACCGAGCGGGACCCGACCCAAGACCCTGAGCTCCTGCCCCTGCGCGGAGGCCGATCCCGGCGTGCGCTGCGTTTTCCTTCCTCTTAGTTCTACTCCTTTCCGTAAGAATCTGCGCCCAGATAGAGAACATTAAACGGTCAAGTTTCCAAACACGATGAGGTCACTTTAAGAATTCAAAGGACTTGAGGCACCTGCCCGGGGGAGGTGGGGGGACGTCCCTCGGCTCCCCCTCCCCGGAAACGCCTGAGTCTGGCGGCGACCTCGGGGACTCCCAGGCCAACGCCAGGAGCGGAGCGAGTGCGGAGTTCGGAGCCTGCTTGCCCCAGCGTCCCGCGGGCGGTCTGCAGCCCGGCCAGAAGGTGAGGGGGGCGGGGACGCACCGCGCGGGAGGTGAGGGCGGGGACCCCAGACGAGAGGTGAGGACGGGCGCTGGCACCTGGAGCGCTGCGAGGGGCGGGCCCGGGCGGGAGTGAGTAGGCGGGGACGACGGGGCGGGGGCGGGAGCTGAGGAGATTCGCCAATCGGTGAGGGCTCCGGTTGTCCCCAGCCCCGGGCCTGGGCAGCTGGGCACCCGGGCGCAGTTCCCCACCCGGTGCGGACTTCGGAACCCGCCGGAGGACTGACGGGCGCCGCCCCGCGAGCGCATCTCCGCTGGACCCGGCGCCCCGCCGGTCCGTTCCCCGAGAGGATGCGCGCCCTGGCGGCCCTGGACGCGCCCCCGAGCGAGCGGCTACTTCCCCGGGACCCCGAGGCGCCCCGCGACCCCGACGCCGCGCGGCCAGCGCGCAGGAGCGCAGTGGAGAGGCTGGCGGCCGATCGCGCCAAGTACGTGCGGGGCCCTGGGGCGGGCCGGGGCGCAGCTTCCGAGGGCATCGGCCCCGGAGCGGTCAAGTGCCTGGGAACCGACCCTGGGCCCCCGGCCCGCGCCCCTGCCCCGGTGGCGCGCAGGGCTATTGCGCGGAAGCCGCTGAGACCCGACTCGCTGATCATCTACCGCCAGAAATGCGAGTTCGTGCGAGGACCGGGCGCCGACGGCCGCAGGGCGAGCCTGGTGAAGAAGCTCTTCCAGGGGCCAGGCAAGGACAAGGCGCCGGTGCCCCCTGAGACTCCCCGTACGGGCGAGGAGGGCAAGGCCGCGAACCCGGAGACCGTCCCCACCAAGCCTGACCCCGCAGCGGCCCCCGCGCCCCCCGAGACCTCAGCCCCCTCCGCGCGCTCCGGCTCCGCGGCGCCCTCCAGGGCCCCGGCCGCGCCCCCTGGCCCAGAGCCGCGCGTGGTGAGGCGACGGGGGCTGCAGCGCTCGCAGTCGGACCTCAGCTCGCGCTACTCCGCCGCCCTGGAGTCTGACACCTTCTTCCAGTACTGCGGCCTGGACCCCGAGGTGGTGGAGGCCCTGGGCAGGGAGAACTTCACCGCGGGGTCGGACCGCGTGACCCTCAAGGTGCGCAGCGTGAGCGTAGCCACCTCCGGCAGCGGCTTCTCCCGGCACAGCGGCGGCGGCGACGACGGGCTGCAGGAGGAGGAGCTGGTGGAGCAGGTGCCCAGCACCACCTCGGTGGTCGAGAGGAACGCCCGCATCATCAAGTGGCTGTACACCTGCAGGAAGGCCAAGGAGAGCCCCGGCCAGGGGCTGCAGGGGCCGGCGTGACCGCCTGCGCGGGAGCGGAGCGGGGCCCAAGGTGTGTGCCAGGAAGGCTGGGGGCGGGGCTGGCCGTGTGCCGGGGAGCCAGAGCGCGCGGAGGGGGGCTGGGGTCTCGGCGGGCGCGGGGGCCGCTGCGGGGCCGGGCTTGGTGGGGACGGTCTCCGGGTTCCCCGGGGGGGGGGGAGTGAGCCTCGGAGAGTGGGACCCCGCTGGGCGGTGGCCGGTCACAGCTGATGCTTAGAATTGAGTGCGATTTGGAGCTGCGGTGTGAAAGAGACCCAAGACACAGACGCAGAGGGTTGTGAGCTGAGCCCCGGGTGCTGGAGAGCAGAAGGTACCAGGCCAGCTACCTGCAGATCCAGGCCTTTAGCAGTCTGCTGCGTCCGGCCTCTTGGAAAAGCAATTCTGCAAATTAACGTGTCCCATTTGGCTTATTATTGTGAAAACAGGAGAAATCCAAAATGCTGCCAGAAAGCAGTTTTGCACCCCTGGTATTATTACCTGCGCTGGAAACGGCTGAGAGCCCTATTCCTGAGTGCGTTGACCTGCGCTGTGGGCGGTTCTGACTTTTGATTGGAGCTGACCTGTCCGCCTGCAGCCCTAGGTAGGCGCTGCTGTCTCACTGGAACAGAAAGGAAGGCTCCCTGTGCTTCCTGGAGGCCTGTGCTGAAAGGGGTGACAACTTCTCCACAGGATCTTGTCAGCACTTTGACTTTCACTTAGCAACAAAGATCTTTGTTTGGCTAAATTTTATTTAAGTTGTTTTGAGAGCTTCAGTTTTTTAAACTAGGCAAATTGCACTAGATTGTAAAGAGAGTCTAGTTTATTTGCCTCTGATGATACTGCAGGAAGTAACTCCCTTTTGGACAACCAGTAGTGCCGGATTGACTTAGGGCTTCTTTAGCTTTTCACTGGGGAACTAAGGAGTGCTGGTTCTCACTGTTAGCCTGCTCTTCCCTATTGCTCTTCCCTATGGGCATTTTACAAAGTAGTGAAGAGAAAGTACCTTTTCAGGGCTCTCTTTGATAACCAGGAATTTAAACATTGCAACACCTTTTTTCTCTTATCCTGCAATGACAACTTGCTATCAATAAATTTTTTAAATCATGAAATGAAATTATTGTCTGCCATTGTGATAAACTAATTGAAGATGCATGGCAGCCTGTAGGGTTTGGGGGAGGCTGCCCAAGAGATGTTTGCACAGGACTCACCTATGTTTGACAACTGAAAAAAATATCCAGTAACTTCTCTGGCTATGACTTTGGTATAGACATAAAAATTTGGTTAATTCAGTCTTGTTCTTGAACTCAGAAGTCTCAGGACTTAAGTCCTTCCTTATAATTTATAGAAGACTTGTGTTTTCCACTAGGCTAAGCCCCCAACATATGTATATAGACAAAGTTCTAAAAAACAAACAAACAAACAAACAAACATGAATTTGTAGTTTTCACAAACTGTCTTTTGGATCTGGGTTGAATGAATGTTGGCAAGGGTATTTTAATGATGGTACCATATGTAGGGCAGGAGCTCTGGAGGGTGGCCATGGTCACTGGAGGGACACAGTCTGGTAGATAGTGCCCTAAACCAGAATTAAGGGCCTGTCTTATGTTAGCAAGTGATTCCTGTACTATAGACCAGGCTTTCTTTGTCCAAAAAAAGAAGGGAGGTAGGCAGATGGTTTTGAACCTCTACATTTTCTGGTCTGTCTAGTAATAATTTGTGTTGCATAATTGAAACCCAGAAATGGAAAAAAAAAGTTGTCTATTGAAATATGTGAAAAGCAAATTTATGAATAAGCTCCCTCCACGTAGCCAGAACATGTGCAGCCAGTAGGTAGACTTGGTGGTATAGTGGTGAGATAATAATATGGCATACAAATAGAGCCAAAATATAACCTGAAAACATAAAAATAAAAGCAACCAGCTCTGATGCCTCCAGACCCCGGCTGGTTCCCATCTCCAGTTAGCCAATGTCAAAATAGTCATCTGAGTGAGAATTTAGTTGACTTCGTAGACTAAATACTAAATACCTTTTAGGCTTGAACCTATGAAAAATATAAGAAGCTTAGTTAGCCTGTGAGAACTTTCACTTTTATAACAAAGAGAAGAGAAATAGTTGAAGGAAAAGGGAAAGTTATAGCAGGTTTGGGAAGGCACTAAGGGTAGAGGCAGGAAAAAGAGGCTCCTGGGCTTCCTCCTCTCCTCATCTTCCTTCACTTGAATCCGTTTGTTTCAGGCTGGAGACAATGGCACCTGTCTTCTGAGAAGTTTTACATTATTTCTCAGAGCAGGGGGACAATGGCACAGAAGCTACCCCAGTTTTTATATGGAATCTGCAGTCACCAGCACTGTGAAGATCTCCTTCACTAATGTACTCCCCTAGACCCAAACCAGTATTATTTCTTTGAAACTGCAATGCAGAGACCGACTGCCTGGCTGCCGGGGGCCGGGGGTATGAGAAGAACATGGTAGCCTGGGCTTTCTCCAGATCCCTGGAACAGGGTCCACTCATGACTTCAGCCCCTGCACAGCTCCCCGCCTCCCTGCACTGGTGTTCCCTCTGGAGGAGACCAGCAGGAAGAGCAAGGACAGAATGTCACACCTGGTCAGTGGGGCGGTCTTCTGACTTCTGGCAGAAGTCCCTTGTTCTGAGACCAGTTCTCCAACTTCTGGAAGATGTAGAAGCAGGAAATTAAGCTGTGCTTTTTCTGCTGAAATTTATAAGGATTCATTTTAGGTTTTCATGAAAGATTCAGAAAACTTGAGATGAACAAAGGTAGGTTTTCTAAGTGAAAGAGAAAACAAATATATTTTATAATATGTGGTTTTTGTCCCCTTGGTAGATAGAGATTTATACATTATAATAAAAATGTCTCAAATACAGTAGAACTAAGTTCTTAAGTTTCTTGCCCTGTGGGGTGAAGATAATTGCTTTCAAAACTGAGACTATCAGAATTGGGGAATGACTCATATAATCTGCACACAAGTCTCTGGGGAACCCATGAGTAATGGTTGTATATGGGTAATTTTGGTCTTCTATTTCCCAGAGTTTACTTTATGAAAATCGCTCTTTTATCTGCTGTTATTTAGTCATCTTCCTGTCTTTCAATTCATCAAACAGGACTTGCCAAAATTTAGATCTTTGTAGTTTGCACAGAATATATAAGTTGCTGCTTTTAATACTGGCATAAATAACTTGTCCTTTGGGAACTTAGGGATAAAACATTGCTTAATTTCAAGGGGCAAAAATGTCCAGACATTCCACAGCTACCTTCACATTTATCCTTGACACAAAGAAAAAAGAAGTGCCTGTAGAAGTCCACTGAAGGCTCCTGGAGCAGAGCTGTGCCTCACATTTGCAAAGATGTAGTGGGAATAGAGAGCAAGTGAACTCAGGACTTCTCAGCCTTCCTACTCCTTTCTTCTTTTACTATTCTGGAAAGCTAAGCAACTAGGAGCACATTTTAGGTAAACAAGTGGCTGGAGTAGCTATGAGGCCACTCTTCCATGTCGTGTGACCCACACCTGGGCCTTTAAGAGATAATGGTGTTTGAAAAGGGAGGAGTCTGATTGCCTTCAGATATTCAGTTTGACTGCCTGCCTATTTTGTTGTCCAACTTTGCAGTAGTTAGCACTGGCCTTACCAACATTTAAAGAAGTTTTCTTTACTGCCCCATGAGTAGTTGGAGGCAAAGAGAAATTTGTAAAGCCCAGAAAAAAGCCTGCAGGGAGATGGAATTTGTTCTGCCAGAGAAATGGGATGATATCTGCATTTAATAAAGTTAGTGACCTCTTTGCAAAATTTAAAATGAAAAAGAAGATGTTTCAAAATGCAGAGAATGTCAAAAAACAACAACTACAGGGACCAGATCTGTATAATATTTAGTTTTTATTATACTAACTTTTGTCTGGACTGGAGTTGATTCATTGTTTTTTCTTTAACTCCTCAGGAAGCAAACCTTTCCAATGATGAAGACTTCTTGAAGGATTTCATGAGTAACTTGGGATCCCAGGGCCATTTTGCCTGTATGCCTAGGTGACCACGTGATTGCTGTTTTCCCAGGAATACAGCATCCCATTGACAAAGCTTACGTGCTCTCAGAAGGTTTCGAATACAACAGAGAATATGGGAACACAGATTTTGAAATTTAGCTGAATTGTAATAGCTGAATCTCTAAGAGGCATTTTCCTTGTCTGAGGTGAAACTAGCATTGCTTCCAGAGGGCAGCTGGAAACACTACAGCCGTTTGGAAATCTTTTTGACTGACTTGCTGACAAAAAGGTACTGTGATACATTTTAACAATATCTAAGTTGATTTTTTTTAAACCAAGGAAAATGAAAACCAAGCATGAATGCCACGTTATGTGCTCCTTTTGACCATCCTGGGCTGATTAGCATCATTTAAATCAAAGTAACCATGAAAAGGTATATTCCGTTTCAATTCTGTGGCCAAAAAAGAGTAAACACACACAGGCTCAGGCACACTGACCCCACTTGCCAGAGCATTACTGCACTATAAACTACATTTAAATCCCAAACTATACTACTGTGTATCTTATTTAACAAATCAGAGAACACTTTTAAAATAACTTGAGGACTACAAGGTCATTCTATTAATGGCATTCTCCGTTTGGGTTGTAGGCATGTGGAAGTACCCATTAAAAGATAAATTAGAGTTTAAATACTGATCAATAAAACCTCTTGTTGTAACTGGACAGTTTCTGGAGAGTTGGAAGAAGAATCTTGAGTTTCCTTTGGTCAGATGAATACAGCATTTCACTTTTGCAGCACTATTTAGAATGCACTTCATAGTTCTCTTGTTCCCAACTTCCAAAAAGAACAGAAAACTGGTTTACATGGAACACAAGCATCTGAGGCAGGGCCTCTTCCCTGTCCTTTGATCTGACTCACACCTTCACATATGACATAATCAACCCAAATTTGACACCAATTCACTCTTTTCTACGAAGAGGATATTCTGAAACAAGGGACAGCCTAAGGGTGGCTGGAATGAGAGTGTTGATGGGGGTTACCGGGTCCCTGATTCTGAACTTGTTCATGACACCCACAGAACCTTCTGAGAAACAATCCAAAGAAAATTTGTTACCCAGCCAATTCTTCAAGAGCTTACTATCAAAATATATCTTTTCAAGAAGAAAATCATTAGCGAGAAGAATGTGGAGGGGAGACAAGTGGGTTTCTCATTGATATCATATTTCGTTAACCATTTCATTTTGAATTATTCAAGTCTTGGTTAATATTATATTCTATTTTTGTAACTATTTTACTGTGAGAGTAGGTCATTGGGTTACTTAGATATTTATTTTTACAGTTATTTGTCTTCAGATAGTTTTATTTTACTTCATATGATTTTAGTTTTTATCAGTATAATTTTAAATCATGTTTTTCTTGGTCATCTCTGTACATATTGTATAATTGAATTTTTATTGTTTGACTGCAAGTGGAGTGTTTGCCACTCAATAAAGTTCTCAGTACTGTAGTGACTTGTTTTCAAATAAGTCCCAGATAGATGTTTGGGAGCCTTTGCTGGCCACCAGATGCACCTTTCTGAATACAGACTCTGTCAGGACGGCAGGTCCCCTGATCTAAGCATTTTCCCCAATGGTTGCTCTAAAAATGCTGCTGTTTTTGTGTTCACTGTATTGCACTTAGTTAAAAAAAAAAAAGATAATGTTTAAAATGAGAGCAGTTTTTTAAATGACCTTGTCATATACTCAATTCCTTATTTTCAGATGTCCCATTAATTTTATATATGAAGGCTTTATGTAAAAGTTTCTACTGTCAGAACAGGATGGATGCAGCCTGGGGCAGATTTATTTAAGATCAAAATGGTGCAGACTCATCATTCATATCATAGGTGAAAAATATAAAAACAAAGTGGTTTCCACTAAAACCACCAAGATCTTTTAGAACTGTTTGCATCTTCGGTGGTGACATAGGAAAAGAGAAGAATTCAGTTGGAGTAAATTCTAGAAGTAGATATCAGAAACTGACATGAAGAACAGGGAAACTGGGTGGCATCAGACTCCTAAAGAAGTGAGTTAATCCTCCTTCCCTTCCATTTAGATTCATGTCTCAGCTCCACGTTTTGAGTATGTGTAAGATGTGAGAAGTTCTTTCTTCAGCCAGGGGTGGTGACTCACGTCTTTAATCCCAGTGCTTTGAGAGGCCAAGTTGGGAGGATCACTTATGCCCAAGGGTTTAAGGCTGCAGTGAACCATGATTGCACCACTGCACTCCAGCCTGAGTGACAGAGCAAGACCCCGTCTCTAAAAATTATGTAAAAAGTAAAACTAAAGAACGTCTTGCCTAAACCTGAATTACTCCAATTTAATGAGTGACTTTGAGAAAAATCAGACTTTAGTTCAGTCTGGATGAAAAGATTCTGATTGCTTTCCACAGGAATATGCCACAGTGACAGCTGCAAGATGCTTGTATTTGTTCATGAAATAATGACACTTTTAAAAAATGTAATTAAACATAATGAAAAAATGATTGATAGAGCAAAGGAAATAACAGTAGTCTTTTTCACTTATATGTGGGTATGATCAGCAATGCCTTAGAGTAAAAGGTATTCATGTACCTAGCTGGTTTCCTAGTTATGTGTACACATAAATACACATAGTGTTTTAAACTACTGGGCATTGACACTGGAACAAAAAGGAGGCTTTATTGAACATTGTCCTTTTTCAATTGGTTCAAAGTTCAGCACTGTGGTTATCACCGGTGATGCCAGAAAACATCAGTAAACTTAGACAATTGTTATGGCAGTTTCCAAACAGAGCTTTTTCTACACACTATTTGTAGCTGGTGTGCAATATTGAATATTCCATATTAAAGAAATAAAGTATTTTTATCATTTATTAATACTAATTTATGAGTTTGAATAATGTGCAAAAATTTGAAATGAGAGTCTGCTCATCACAGTTCCTTGCCTTCTGTTTCCCCCCCCTTTCTTCCCGAGTGTCATCTCAGCAGATTATGTGGAGGAATGAGGGGAAGGTATCCCAAGGATTGTCCTAGGTGAGCCGTGTACCACCGGAAATCATCGACTCCCCTCAAGATGAAATGCAGTCAAAGCAGTTTTGAATGTTCTGCACTTTGATTTTCTTTGTTTCATCAGTCTTTTGCTTAAAATATTTTCATGTTTTGCTAACGCTGTCATTGGAAAAAGGGCACAAACAAAAGCACAGTTTGCACCCTTTTCATTAGCAAATTAAGTGAAGGCAGACTCTACTTATGTGGGTTTTCTCTCATTGTGCTCTATGCACCGGGGTGGTGGGGGGTGTGTGGTGGCTTGGGCAGCTGGTGAGTCATGGAACCCTGATGTTTTTCTCGCTGCCCTGGCTGAGCCAGACTCTGCCGTCTTGCTGTCTTGCTCAGTCTTGCAGATGCCTATGCCTAACCCTAGGGAGGAATCTAAAGATAGGCTTTCCTTCTTCTTCTTTTTTCTTTTTCTGAGACTGAGTCTCACTCTGTCGCCCAGGCTGCAGCGCAATGGAACAATCTCAGCTCACTGCAACCTCTGCTTCCTGGTCAAGTGATTCTCCTGCTTCAACCTCTCGAGTAGCTAGGATTATAGGTGCCTGCCACCATCACCGATTAATTTTTGTATTTTTAGTAGAGATAGGTTTTTGCCATGATGGCCAGGCTGGTCTCGAACCCCTGGCCTCAAGTGATCCACCTACCTCAGCCTTCCAAACTGCTGGGATTACAAGTATGAGCCACTGTGTCCTGCCAAAATAGGCTTTTTTTGAGGAGAATAAATACATCACTTCTTTATTTCTATGAAGGATATGGACAGATACCCAGCCCTTCTATAGAAACTCTCTTATCGTAGCTGTTCAGAAATGGTCCAAGCATTGGGTGGTGTGGCTTATATTGCAGAGTTCAACAGCAGCTGCCTTTTCCATTCAGGGAAACTTGGGGGCTTACACAATGCTTAGGTGGTTATACTTTGCACATTCATTGATGAATCAGATAGATTTATATAATATTTAAATGTTCCGGGTTAGCAATACTAAACACAAAGGGAATTGAGTGTTTCATCCAAGTGCTTATATTATTGGGAGTAGCATGGAGCAGCTGATGGGAGGCAGCACAGAAACCCCAGAACATGTGCTCCTGTCCAGCAATGGCTCCCTAATTTTCTCTGCTACAATGCCTCAAATTCTACAGAGTTCATTGTCATCTTCTTTTTTTTTTTTGAGACAGAGTTTTGCTCTTGTTGCCCAGGCTGAAGTGCAATGGTGTGATCTCTGCTCACCTCAACCTCCACCTCCCAGGTCCAAGTGATTCTCCTGCCTCAGCCTCCCAGTAGCTGGGATTACAGGCATGTGCTACCACACCCGACTAATTCTGTATTTTTAGTAGAGACAGGGTTTCTCCATGTTGTTCAGGCTGGTCGTGAACTCCCGACCTCAGGTAACCCACCTGCCTCGGCCTTCCAAATTATAGACACGAGTCACTGCCCCCCCACAATTGTCATATTTATATTATCTTATTAAAAATTGTCATTAAAGTTGAAATGTGATCTGAAGGGGAGACTGTATTAAATCACTAATAACTTTTCACCTTTAGGTCCAAATAGAATATTAATTTCCTTAGACAGTGAGACTCTACACCCCATGATCAGAGTAGAAAGACCTGGATGCTGGCTTCAGTACACCCCGTTGATCACTCAATGTTGAGCTTCAGGAGGACTCTTAATTACAAGGGCCAGAACAGAGAATTACAGAATTGTCTCTGCCTAAATCTACTGTCCACCTTGTGGTATCGAAACACAATAGCAGCCTGAATGGAGGTGTCACCAATGACCACACGCAGAATTCACTCACATGCATGTACTGAGGCGCCATATACTGCACAAGGCACAGGGTTCACAGGCTCCCTGCCACTGGGGGATGGCTTACATTCTAGCAGCGGCACAGACACTCAGTAAGGAAATAAAGACAGACA